ATTGATGTACCGAAAGAGAAAAAAGCATTAGGTCGAATTTGATTGGCATGCTTCTCGCACGTGTACTTGTGATATTATCTGGAACGCTGGTCATGACTTCATTGACATAAAATTTCTATACTCTATTACTAGATCCTTTCTGAAATCCTTCATTACTCGTTGCTTACATTCTGTCGACTCTTATAAGCTCTATCTACCGCTTTATCAAAACACTTCTCTACATATATCTGACGATCCTTCACCCAATAAAAGTTGCTCTTCATTTTATGTAAATGAAAGTGAAAGGCCGATAACATCTGCTATAATCGATACTTATGATACTGTTGCTCCACTTTGAAAAGTTGTGCTGTCATCCAAGTTTAAATCTTGGGTGACACTACACCTTAATTATATGCTCTCATTAAGTTTCGCAGTAGGATATATAAATACGTTGTATCAACCCATGATATTATTGATTTTGTTAAATATAAATACTTACGCTCCGAAGTAAGCAAAAAACTATCCACACTAAAAAACGAGTATATTAAATAAAAAATCAATACTGTAAATAATACTATTACAAAATGAAGGCAGCTTCATTTCGCGTGTGTCAGTAAGACAACTTTAAGTTTTCTCTTTTTATTTACCGATATTGATATATTAAATAAGCACTGAAATCATCATTCACCTCTGACTTTCTCTAATTTCAAATCTATTTTACTAGGTCTTTTTTAATTAACCTTCATTAATTACTTTTCTTGAATTTTATCTCAGCATTATTTATAAGTTCTTAAAGTAGTCAAAATCCTTGCTATGGATAACATTTACTTACCCGACGAATATATTACAAACTGTTATTGATGATGATGGTGAAATCTCTAAATGGCTTCTTGTGTCTTTTGACATCCCTCACGGTGATTTTCTTGGACTGTTACTGTTTGCTATCTATATCAATGATTCACCTAATACATTACGTTTTGCAAAATATTTATGCTGATGATAAAATATATTTACTATGAATATAAAGATCTTCTTAGAATATTCTTAGAACTAATAACTTAACTCAATTTGAGGTCATCGCAATTATTCACACTTGTCAGTGAATTTCTTGCAATGGCTTAGACCTAAATCATTAAAAACTAAAGGTGATTATCGTGGCCGGCGAACTATATATAACTAGAATAGATTATTTAATGTACACACAAATTATCGTGGAATAAGCATCTCTTATTATACAAATATTCCAAATGTTTATTTCACTATTTCGAGTACTCTTGATTGAAAGATTCACACCCATACAATTATTAGAAAAGTATTACATCACTACAGTATTTGAAATTTTACAAAAAATCTTCATGATATGAATCGAGAAAGCAGCTAATTGAATTATCGGTCTTCCTAAATTTTGAGTATTGCTTTATAAACGAGGCTCTCAGTCAAACCAGAATGTCTGAATTGTAGGTTACCTAGAATGCTTGTATTAGATTTATGGTATATTTTGTTCCGCTCATCCCTTCTCAGAATATTACTTCATATATTACTTATCATAGACTTTGCCTAAACTGTTCCTTTTAATAAGCAGTTGCATTTCCTAGATATAATATGCTTTAGGATTCGTTCTTGTGATGTTCGTATCACTTATAAATAAAATAATTCGAACTCTCGTAATCTAGCTAATGAGTAAGAATTTGTTTCCAATGATTTTACTCTAATTGTCAAGAAAATAGGTAAATAAATCAAATGTAGTAAATAAGTAAATCAAAAATACATAAGTAAGTGCAATATTTCGAGGAAAGTCAGACAATGCCCTAGTTTCTTATGGTGCGAATTGTCCCATAAGCAGAGCTAAAGTCTTTCTTTGATAGGATATAATTCGGCCCAAGTTTCTTATAGCGCGAGATGTTCTATAAGTCGAGCTCAAATTATAAGGAAAGGATAGTCTTGCTTAGTTAATCACAATGAGAGAAAGAACTTAGGTATTAATCCAAGTTTATTCAGACTCATGCGCTCACCTTGCAAGGCTAGAAGTGAATGCTAGCCTGTGCAAAGGTCGGCCTATTTATACACAGATTTTCCCGCTTATTTTTGCAGGAGAGATTTAATCGATTATTCGAGAGACATTCGCGAATTTTGAGAAATGAGTTTTCTTAATTTACAAGTAAATAACCATTAATATTAAGTTTTTAACACATGTAAACTTTACAGAATTTGTTATTTGTTGATTTTATACAATATATAATTATCGCCAATAGTGTCGTCAAAAGTTATAACTAATAAAGTTAATTAACGTAATATTACAATATTTACAATAGAAAATTATTGAATTTTCATATAACTTTATAGTTGATTAATTTTGGAAGTATTCTCCAAAATTAATTATTTAAATTAATTAATAACATTTGAATTATGACTAATTTTTCATATTTGTAACGGTTTTTTCTAATCTTAATATGCAATTATTAGATTAATTATCTAAGATTTCTAAATTATAAAGTTATTATTATCAAATATTAACTTAATATTTTCGTTCTATATATAGCTTATTGTTTAAATAAATTATTAATTGTTTATTTATTAATAACAGTTATTATACAGCTGTTATTAATGAAACCAATTCTTACTCATGTTCTATGTTTATTCACTTTGCGTATAACTTATTTACATTTTTCTAATATTTTATATGTTAACGTAATAAATAAATTAATTTTGCACATTGATATTCATTATTATTTCATAATTGAATGAGATTTTTGTTATAATATTATTAATCTACATGCTAAAATCTATATAATCGATACTTTGTTATATTAAAATTATCTATAATTAACATATTTTTCTTAATATCCTATATCATTATATCTATGTCTATTACTTTGTGACGTCACGCTGTTTATTTTGATTCGACTCTTATTTGTATACAGTCGCGTAAACAGTGAGGTAGCGCCGCTTAATGTATTGTTTTGAATAAACAGATAGATACGTTAGACTAGTTGCAGTCATTCAGTGATTTAATAAATAGCTCATAAATAGGACCGTTACATTCTGTGACGAATGCACAACGTCATCACCAATTATTTAAAGGGAGATAAGAGAGGAACTTTCGCTCTCAGCACTAGAAGGAGGGAAAAAAGGAACAAAAGGTCAACAAATGATCACACTCTACCATTTAAATCCAAACTTATAATCTAATTTACTAAAGAATACACACAAACAAAACTTAAATCTTAATTAACAAACATAGCGTTATTATTTACAATAAGATACCACAGACTAAATCTGTCGCGATGAACGAGCGAATTGTCCGGCGAGCAAGCGTCTTGACAATTCGAGGGCCGCTGTTCTAATCGCAAATAATAGCCGGTGAAAAAACGTCTTGCTAGTTGATGTACTGAACTTAAACTAGCGCGACCTTGAAGCTGCCGTGAAGAGAAAAAAAAGAATTCGTGAGAGTAAGAATAGTTGAACATTTGGCCTTAACTGCTGTTTCAACTGAAAGACGAAGGCCATGGGAAGATATGCTACTAAAGGTATTCTTTCTCTTACTAATTTCGGTGATTCACCGGAATGTTGACGAATCAGCCGATCCACCAGGCTCCTCTCTTCTCCTTCTTCGGGGAATAACGCTCGATGCACTCAGCCGAAGAAATTACTAATCAGGAAGGCGTGATGCAGCACGGATTCTCCAGCTAAACCATTTGGTGGATCTGACTTAGCAAAGGAGTAAAAAGAAATGCCTGCTAGTCGCAACCTACTCGCGGTCACTTGCTCGTACTTCCTTTCCTACCCTTTATTTTTCGGCGGTATGCAACGTAGCGCTTATCGATCGTGCACCGTTCATCTGGCCTGACCTCTCTGTAGTGCGTCTTGTATTTTCGCTCTCTCACTGTCACTCTCTCTTTATCTCTCCCACTGCTGGAGTTTTTTGGGCCTCTTCAGTTGCTCCTCGGCAATCATCGGCGCTGAAGAAAAGAGGCCAATAGTTAGGTGCATTCTTATATGTGCCTAACGTTGGCCAGTATGTCCTACTGAGAGCAGAGGAAAAATCAAGAGAGACTGACAAGAAGTAAGTTTACTACCTGCTTTCATCACATTTGTATATCACTATCCTTCTATTTAGATACTTATTAACTTACAGAGTAAGTACTTTATATATGAGTTTTAAACATTATTTCATTATTCCCCCTCCCCCCCTCTCTTTTTTTAACCTCTCGTACAGAAAAATCTAATAACCACAATCAATAACTTGCCAGTCAACTGTGTACATCTGGTGTTGCCACATTACCCTAAACATACATGACATGTGCCAACGCGTTATTAAAAAATTACCTCAACATTTTTAATCAAAATATTTCAATCAATTAATTTTAGTATTAGTCTGAATATATGTCATAAAACAAATAATAAATTATAAATATTATAACACGTACATAGTTTGTTTATTATGATGTTTATTATTTTGTCATATGTGTTTTAATCAATTACGCAATAACATAATAATATAATAGTAATTATTCGATATTGTACACTAGTTAAAATGATAGATAATATATAATTTGATTTAAGAATCAACTGTAACTGACAATTTAATAGCTGATTCTATTATGTAAAATTTATAATTCATTTTCATGTATTGTGAAAATTAAAAACCAGTAAATAATGTAACAACGTAAGCGCTTTCGTACATTTCTTACACGCTAAGTTCTTTAATAATTTTATTTTCAGTAAAGTCCTTATTATTGTGTATTATGTTATAATTTGAATAATAACATAATTTTAAACTATTAGGATACAAAATAATGAACCCTACGGTAATATTGAAAATTATAGTACAAATAAAAACATCTTGATGCTCATAGCGCAGGTTATTATGTGTAATAAAAGTTTGAAAGAAGAAAATCATTTTATAAAAGGGGAAGCCGTGGAGGAGCAGGAAAAATTAATCTGCATCCTTACGACTACACGCACATATACATACACGCGCGCGCTAACAACAATATTAATAAATATTATTTTACATTTACCTTTCTGATAGTGTCATTCTTGGGGGTGGATGATGAGAGGTAGCGGAAGAACTGTCACTGTCATCACTAGCTGAAGATTCTATGTTTGCTTGAACTACGGACTTATCTGAATGTGTATTTTCAACTTTGATTCGTTTGTGCATCTGCAAAATCAGTATGAGAAAATGAGTTACAAGTATTTCCCTTTTTACCCACAGAATACGCCTGTCATAAATTACAAAGAATACACCGGATTATGTCAAATATTATTATTTATCAATTGATAAAATACGACTATAAATATCCAGAATTACTTTTCAAGTAATCCTATTTAATTACTATATAATTATATAGTTTCATTAATCTTAGAATGCTAATCCTATGTAATCGTGTCGCTAAATACCGCGCCAAATTCAAGCAACTTCTAGCAAATATATATTAAAACAGTGTGAATCAAACAAACAATACTCATAGTCAAATATCTATAACAAAATCAGTTAATATAGCTGCTATGAAACAATCAAGATGGATAAGATCGGTCATAATTAATTCGAAAAACGGAAAGAATGAATCATTAAGTTGAAAAACAGCAGAAAGCAAAAGACCGTAAAACAGTCTAGAAAAACGTAGAATTATTGAGAAAAGATAAATTCGATGATTAGAAGAAAAGAAAAGAAAGAACAACATAAGAGATGTAAACGTATCAACTATAACACAGTAACATTTAAGTTATCGAAATCTCCGTCGATATTCGTAATGGTGTTTTAAATATTGATTCTTCAAAAAATATTCTTAATCTCGTTGCTAAAAGAGCATATATTCTCAAAGTACTACAAAATAATAAAATTGAAATCCAAGTAAACAACAATAATTAAATTAGAAAAGAAAATACTTATTTTTACACATTTGAAAAGAAATAAAGTAAACTGTATGACATTTAAAAAAATGCATCAGAGAATCATAACTTTGCCAATTTGTCCGTTGGTTCTTACAGTCGTTCGTTGCCGCGTACAGATTTGCGTATACACTCTTATGTCTCGGGTTATGGCGGACAAGCTGATTGGTGGAGCCATGAGCGGCCGATGATTGAGGAGAAAGCAAGATGCGAACACAAAGAGCCCAAAAGTGAGAGAAACGGAAAGTGGATCGATGAGATGAAATTTAAAAAGGTGGTAGAAGTGGGTTGCCAAATAGGGTGCATTGTCGACTTTCTAATGGGTTTCAGATTGTTTTGGAGCGCGTCCTCGTTATTTTTGTTCTTAAAAATACCCTCCTGGTATGCAGGGCGTGGTGTTAGATTTTGTTGTTGTTAGTTGCTGGGTTGCGTCTAGCCAGTGACAAATTCAACCCGAGTGAGGGATTCGGGCAAGGATCCGTGTTGCCATCGCACGTAGCCGTTTCAAATAGCAAGCAACGGCGAGATAAGTGTCAGCTACAGAATCGGCTACGCGGATGATTTCAAGCAGAGCAACAGTGTCCATAACATCGATGAATAGTAGCAGTGACGGCCAGTAACAGTGAAGAATGGTCGTCGCATCGCAGAAGATCGGTACAGTGTTTTATTTCCCCCTTTTTCTTTTCCCTTGCATTTTCGGACATTACAGATACGTGTGTGTGCCCAGACAGTTTTACCGGTCCCTGCGTTGGCGGGCGTAACGGTCGATCACAGGTTTCATCGGGAAGATTACCGAGCAGATTTTTGTTAATCTAGTAGATGTTCTTAAGCGTCTTTATCCTTAATTATGCAAAATTTCGTTTTCGGTTTGTACACGTGCACACTGATGCATTTTATTGTTTTTTTATAATTAAAGTTAGTTTTATTTAATCACTGTATTTCAAAGTTTGATGTAAGTCACCGTATTTCAACTATTACCAATTCCTATTCCATTGTTAGTTTCGTGCTCGATTGATTAATCTAGACATCCAGTATATTATTCAGACATCGGAGCGTTTGCACCTTCCGAATATATTCCTTTTTCAATTATTTGTGCAGACGGCCGCTGATAGAACCTTCTTGGTAGTCGGTCATATTTTTCCGTTATAAATGAATTTTAAAAAACTGAAACGTTTAAACATAATATATTTACGATTTCAAATATGAAATATAGAATAACGAAACGACTGTTATCGATAATTTTCATTGAATTAATAATAACAAGGAAATCCACGAAATTATAAAATTCATGAATAAATGATTAGTTTAGAACCACCGCGTTACCAAAGAGGCAATACATCCCTAATGCATGCATACACAATCGCGTTTTTCCCTGAAAAAAATTGGATAAATGGCGTAGCAAAGAAATAGGTTGTAGGCAGGTTAAACTTTTCATTCTGGTTGTTGCTTCCTGGAAAATACACTGGATGTTATCTCGTACCGTCCTCTCGGTGCTTGCATAGTGGGTAGTCACTATGTAAGGGAGCTTTGATGTTGCCTTGACTGGGTTGAGTTGATTAGTTGATCCGAAGAGTTCAGCTGCTAGTCTGATCAACTATTACAATAGATTTAAATGAAAAGCGGTGATACACTCACTGTTATACAGAGGGCTGAGGTATAAAAGCGCTCTCTGATATTCCTGTTAGTCCGAAAGGAAGGAGGTAGAAATGATCCGTAAAGTGTTGCCCCAAACACAAGTTACTTGCAACAGACGGGAAGTGTGTCAGTACACAATTCGATACTAACTGAGACTTGTTCAACAAACAAAAAACAAGTATCATTAACCAACAGCAGGATTTGACTTTTTATCGAACTACATTGTAAGAATAGGACAAATGGCAAAAACACTTATAGTTATTGTTCGTTAAAATAGTGACGTCACATATTCCTTGCTTTTGACAAACTGGTTTGTCAAGAAAACGGCCAGACTACAAATTCATGTCGAAAAATAAAAAAGTAATATAGTCTCCGCAATTAGAGCAAGCGTCCTAAACAGTATGTATTGCCAAGAATACGGTTATACTAAAAATTACTGTTATAAAACTCCTATTGTCTAAAATGTGCAAAAAATCATTTAACATTCAACTGACTAATTCAACGAGAATGAAAGAAATCAAATCTTCCAAACGGTTACAAAGATCATGTGGCTAGTTATAAAAAACGTAGTGCAAGAAACCTTTTTTAACAAGAATTATTTTCATCAAGAAGAGCGAACCAACAAGTACAGGTAATATCGCCAGACCAAATATTACATATGCACAGGTAGAAAATGGCAATATTTAGAAAACTGAAAAAGACTTATACTAATACAAACTCATCTGTTAATAATAAATAATAACAATAACAGTTAGTTGAAAAACATGATAACCCACAGCTGATGAACAAAAACTTAATCATATTTTTTATGAAACACTATTCTCCGAGACATACTCTCAACAAAGAAAAGTACGTAAAGTAGTAATTCTTTAAAAGTCTAGGGAATCAATTCTTTTCGGGAGATGACTAAAATGCAAATCATCCAAGGTGAGGATCAAAGTGAGCAACAATCGCACACCAATATCTATGGGCAAATCCAGACCCATTTATTGACCCTCGAATACGAGGTCTCTCCGGAAATTATCGGGACTACCTTTATATCTTCGCGTCATAGTGTTCGAGCGACCTCTACCGGACAGAAACGGCAACAGTAAAGCCTCACGAATCTATTGGTTACTTACTGACACCTGCCGGACGTATAGTTCATGCGCAGCGTGTCTATGTTTACAGTGCCTTTTTCGCGTTTGTCGGAATTTGATATTGTCAAAAATGACTGAAAAACTAGATCAACGAATTTGCATCAAATTTTGCTTTCAACTCGGAAAAACGAGTTCGGAAACTATTGAAATGATGTAAAAGGCCTTCGGAAGCGAGTGTATGAGCAAAACACGAATAAAATTTTCGTTCCGGCCGACCTTCGACGACAAAAACCGCAGATAATGTTGAGCGGGTGCGACTTGAAATCGAACAAGATCGTCGTATGACTGTGCGAGAATTAGAAGAAGACCTCGGGATACTAAAAACTATCATTTCAGAAATTTTAACCGAAAATTTAGGAATGAAACGCTTGTGTGCGAAATTCATCCCAAAATTGCGCACAGCAGAGCAGAAGAACATGCGCTTAGAAATCGCTCTGGACAATCTGGAAATGGTCAATAATGATGATAATGTGCTTATAAAAGTTATTACAGGTGATGAATAATGGGTTTATGGTTATGATCCTGAAACAAAACAACAATCTTCACAGTGGAAGCATTCTGAATCGCCAAGACCAAAAAAAGCACGTCAAAGTCGGAGCAATGTTAAGTCAATGTTGATTATTTTTTTCGATTGTGAAGGTATTGTACATCACGAATATGCACCAACAGGTCAGACAATCAATAAAGAATACTACGTTCAAATTTTTAAATGTTTGCGTGATGCAGTAAGAAGAAAACGGCCGCACTTTTGGGAAAGTAGTGACTGGCTTCTCCATCACGATAATGCGCCACCACATTCATCCAATCTTGTGCAGCAGTTTTTGAGCAAACACAATATCGCATTGCTTCGACAACCTCCATACAGTCCCGACATAGCCTCTTGTGACTTTTGGCTGTTTCCAAAACTAAAAGAACCACTCAAAGGACACTGATTCGACGACAAAACAACGGTTGAAAACAATGCGACGAGTGTACTTAAGGCTATCCCTAAAAGTGAGTTCCAGAACTGTTTTGAAAAGTGGAAACATCGATGGAACCCTGTTGTTCAATCAAGTGGGGATTACTTTGAAGAATGCCACCCACCAAATGATAAAGAATAACGCTAGCACGAAAATATAAAGGTAGGCCCGATACTTTCCGGACAGACCTCGTACTAATAAATTATCCAATTTAATAGACTTCGCAATTATAAAAGACGTATATTCGAATAAACAAATCGTCAGATTATCCTTGACTCCTCAGATCATTCTTCAATCATTATAAATTGTGATGTAATAATTTAGACCAATGTGTGTGTGTGTGTGTGTGTGTGTGTGTGTGTGTGTGTGTGTGTGTGTGTGTGTGTGTGTGTGTGTGTGTGTGTGTGTGTGTTAACCCATTAAGGCCCATGCCAAAACTGCATGAGACAGCGCTAAACTAACTATGCCATTCATAGCATCAGTGAAAAAAAAGTACCCGTATTTTTTCTTTTGCCATTTGCAATTGTTTGTAAAAA